TATATATACTGAGAGTTAACTTTAATCTCTGTCATGGGGATTAAGGTATTTTTTGATTGGTGGTGAGTAGGTTAAGTGCAGATTTAATGACCCTTGTGTAGCCGATAGTCTTTAAACTCAACCAGCCAGAGTAATGTAGTGGTTTAAATATTGTTTTACGCATGAAAATATGTATAGTTATTAATGCAAAGAATTAAGAGTTGATTTTACATAATTATACTTTACTCAATTTAGATTTTTGAAAGTTGAAAAGAGAGTAGGCATGTTAGAATTCTTTCAGAATCCGTTGAACATGGCGGTGGGCACGTTCTGCCCTTTCTTAGGGTATTATGGGTCAAAAACTGCACCACAACTCTGCTTTAAAATAGCGTGAGGCCACGTGAGAGCACCAGCCTGGGTTGCGACGACTCACCTTGGCTGCCAACACCTTGCACAGTCTCGTTAGTCACAGAAAATGGACTCTTGCTCTGTACTTGTCACTTTCACAATGTAAACAAACGGCTCTAAAATTAGATTTTTTTACACAGTTGAATTTACAGGCCAAGATCAGCTACCTTAACTTATTTCAGTTTACAGCCTTGCTTTAACTGGCATGCCTAGAGTGCCACTCACAACACTCGACTAACTTCTGTGTTGCTAGAGAATAGTCAAAACATCGTGGCTGGAACAATTCACCAAAAACCCTCACATGAGAGAGGAATCTTATAACGAAGTTTCAGTCCTTCCTGAACCATTCTCAAGTCACAACTGAGGCTAGAACAGTAGAGAAGGCCCAAAGACTGTAGGCCTTCCCCACTTTTCTCGTTACAGTTGTGACTTACCATTAGTCTATGCCGGAGCGAAACATCGTCATAAAGTTCCTCTTCTAAGTGCTATTTTTTAGTGATTCTATATATAACTTACGCTAAGTGAGCAGGAACAGCTAGTGTGGGAAGACATGCTCTTACGTCTCATTGAAGTTGATATTTACGATGCAATTAAGTCTGTCAGAATGCGAGAATCTGATTTCCTTTCAGTGCAATGAATACGAGGGACGGGAGAGACAGTAGGACCACGATGACAGGAGTTCTTAACCGGGGGTATCCATACTCCTTAGGGGGGTATGAATACCAAATAATAGAGGTATATGACTCGATCTCAGAACAATTAAAAAAAAATTGTTGGATTAGAATAAACTATCAACTGTTCTGTTGCTAGCTATCCACATGTAAAGTAAAACCAAGCTAGTGACATCTTTTGAAGTCATCCTGGTACCTAATAGGACTGGTGTTCAATTCAATTCAAATTCAAAGTTTATTCTCTATAAGGATTACAATGCTGAGTTTACAGAAATTTGGTTATTGTTTGGTTTACATGTAGTAAAATTGTGATTACAGAGTGTACCACTAGAACGCTTAGCATGGCTAGGCATTTCGGGCATAACATAGGACTGGTGTTGAGTTCGATAGACTGGCGAAGGTGGTATGGGGACATATTGGGCATTGTGAATGTGATAATGATATTCAATACCGCCAGGTTGATAGGTAAGAGACATGTGTAACAGTTAGGTATCTTTATTCCGAAATGTTTCGCCTACACCGTAGCCAGTACAGAAGAGGCAATTGAATCAGTAGAGATATAAAAGCGATGTAATCAGTTCATCACCCTTGAAGACGTAGCTTTTGTAGTTTTGATGTTGCTGTGTCTGGTAAGTTGTACATGAATGGTATATAATACCGACAAGATGATGGGCCAGTATTACTGCAGTCTTCTTGCTCAATACTCGTCTATCTCTTGGGTATGACCTGCTTCCATTTGGAAATCCTACCTACCTACCTTCGTCTGCTGAACATTCCTCATCTGATGCCAGTATTATATAAGCAATCTTTCTGCCTGTTCAAAATTCTGCGCAAAAATGGTTATAACTATGACCATAATTTTTAAAGGGTGAACTTGTGAGCCAGTGGAAGGCCTCGGTCAGATGACCAAAAGCTCCAACGACTGGTCATCATCTGACAAAGACCCGCGTCAGGAAACACTTGTCCTGTTTCCTGACGAACCTTACCTAACCTTACCTAACCTTACCTGCCTGTGCTTCAGATTCTTCAAGACTACGGTGCTCATCACCAACTACAAGGCTGAGGGACTGATTACCTCGTCTTTTGTATGTAGTTCTACAGTCTTTTCATTATGTCCCTGAATTTGTATTATTAATTAATAGCCAGTGGTTGGCGAAACGTCTACAAATAAAGGTACCCAGATGTTGCACATGTGTCTAACTCTTCATCTTGTCGATGCTGTGTACCATTTGGGCACAATACGAGATGGAGTACATAGCTAGAAAATAAAGTGAAACTGAGGAGACCCAAGAAGAATGCCATATTGGGATGAAGACGTCTACCCGTCCTCATCCCATCATGGCATCCTTCAGGTCACCATGCGTCACTCACACCTCACTCTCCGCTTATATATACTGTCTTTCAACCTCTGTATGTTAGAAGTGATCAAGGTCCCAGGACAGAAACGTTTTCTAAGAAATGTGTCCCAGTGTTTGCTCGCGTATTTTTATAAACCAACTTGTCTGACCTGTTTTCAAAGCTACCCAAAGTTTTCGCTTCATTGACGCTACTCGGGAGTTTGTTCCACTCATCCACAACTCTGTTACCAAACCAGTATTTTCCTATATCTTTTCTAAATATATTTTTTTTCAACTTTAATCCATTGCTGCGAGTCCTGTCTTGGTTGGATATTTTTTTTTTTTTACACAGGGCTTGACAAGATTAAGGATCCCTAGCTTTATTGACAAGTTATTTACAGGTTAAGGATTCCTAACTTTATTGGCAAGCTAAGAGCTGTTACCTACATCAGCTCATTTGAAAGCATTTTTATTGTCATGAGACATACAAGTAGGGAACAGGATGAAGTTGGAGCCATCTGTGGGCCAGCATTTTCATTTGATCAACTGACTTTATCTCGTTGACATCATTATGCTGTACGAATGTGTTCCATACTCGAGTCATCCTGGGTATATAGGATCTCAGATGGAGTGATGTTCTGGAGAGGTGTACAGCCAGAGTGAAGTTGCTGCTTTCTGCCCGTCTTGTGGCATAAAAGCTTGTTTCACGTTGTCCTCAAAGTGGATCAAAGTGTGGTACTTTGACGATATTGGCCTTGTACATAACAGTAAGGCCACCCACATCCTTCCTGTGTTGAAGGCTCTGTTGAAATGACAGATCTATCCAGGATGGGTCCAGGCGAGAGATGAGATGTCTTGCTCTGTTCTCTACTCTGTCAAGCAGTCGCAGATGAGAGGGGGGGGGGGCAGGCAAACCAAGAAAGTTGAGCATACTCAAGGTGTGAGCGTACTTGTGCCTCGTACAGAATCTTGCAACCCCTACTGTCAAGCAGATGCGATAATACGGCGAAGTGCTGTAAGCTTCCTGGCTGCCTTGTTTGCAAGATTTACAACATGGTTCTTCATGGTCAGTTTGGAGTCAAATTTCACCCCAAGGATATCAACTACTTCCCCAGGTGCCAACACCCTCCCATTCATCCCTACTACTGCGCCGGCATTACCATCATGGTGCCTAGAGACCATCATTATTTGCGTTTTCTCAGGTGCAAATGTTATTTGCCATCTATTTCCCCAAGCTGATATAGCTCTTAGCTGGTGATTGATGTAGCTTAGAGCAGCTGGCATTTCTTCTCTTGGATAAGTGAATGTCAGTGTACAGTCGTCTGCATATGCATGGGATTCTGGGATGAGATGAAAAAGGTCATTGAAGTAGACATTCCCTAACAATGGTCCCAGCACGCTTCCTTGTGGAACACTTGCCCCAATAGGATGTCTTGCTGATTCCGTTCCATTGAGAACTACCCTTAGAGATCTACCATGAAGGTAATCACTGAGGAGACAGCGTAGAGCCTGCAATTCCCAGTGCTTGAAGTTTTGCTAAGAGGCCCTGGTGCCACACCCGGTCGAAAGCACCAGCTGTCTTCCATTTATATACCTCAATCGTATCATTCCCTAATTCTACGCTTTTTCAGAGAATGCTGATTCAGTGCCCTCAGTCTATGTTCGTAGGAAAGATTTCTGGATAAATTGCAAGAGTGGCCAGATGAGTTGCTGCTTGAATTCAACCCCTGTAAATACAAGCTCATAAAGATTGGGGAGGAAGCAAAAAGTCCGGAAATGGGGTACAGACTATGAGACAGAAACTGCAGAATTCACTCAAGGAGGAAGACAGTACATCGCCAGAGACTCTCATAAGCAGGATAACCTCTTCATTCAGTGCTCGTCAGCCCATCTTGGAGTATGCAACACCAGTATGGAACCCACACCTAATAAAAGCATTTTAAGAAACTGGAAAAAGTACAAAAGAATGCAGCAAGATTTGTTTCTGAGCTGAGAGGCATGAGCTATGAGGAGGCTAAGGCAATTAGACCTAACGACATTGAGTGACAGAATGGGGGTAGGTATGCTAACAACATACAAAATACTCAGGGAAGCTGATATGGTAGACAGGGATTGACTGTTTAAGAGGAGAGAAACGAGAATTCTGGAAAACTACTGAAAGTCAGATTCACAGATGAGCCATAGGGATGTTAGGAAGTATTTTTTCAGTCTCAGAGTGGTCGGGAGGTGGAATGATCTTAGTGAAGAAGTATTGGAGGTAGGCTCCATACATAGCTTTAAGAGCAGGTACATTAGGGGCCCACCAGGCTAAGAGGGAGTGAATATGAAGAGTGGCAAATTGAGAGGCGGCACCAGAAACTGATAATCAACCCCAGCAACCACAAATGGGTGAATACAAGTATATGAGCACACACACACACACACACACACACACACACACACACACACACACACACACACACACATAATAGACTTAACATCAGTGTGATAAAGTGCCAACTACAGGATACAGGCTTAGATTTGCTCCTGTAGCTACAAACATTTAATCCTAAATACGAAATTATACGCACAGGCATGCTCATACAGAAATATAAAATATACTCACATCTCCTGGTCAGCTTCAGCGAAGATAGTTGAAATAGAGGAGAATAAATCTGTCATCTGGAAGTTCATTCTGCTAAAATTTTCACTATTGAGGCTGTCACTGTTGCTAAGGCTGTTGAGGCTGTCACTGTTGCTAAGGCTGTTGAGGCTGTCACTGTTGCTAAGGCTGTTGAGGCTGTCACTGTTGATAAGGCTGTTTAGGCTGTCACTGTTGCTGGGACTGTTGAAGATGACACTGTTGATAGAGGGGGTTGAGGTTGTCCCTGTTGCTAGGGGGGTTTTCAGGCTGTCACTTTCCGTGGGGCGTTCGGGTTGTCACTGTTGCTGGGAGTGTTGGGGCTGTCACTGTTGCTGGGGTTATTGGAACTATCACTGTTAAAAGCAGCAGTGGCACTGTTGCTGTTAATGATTTGATTGTTGTAGCTGATACTTCACTGTATAATTTATTAGTTTATTTAGTAACTCAAGCTGATACTGTCACTTGTTCTTATCGTCCTCACAGATGTTTTTACTCAGGTTATCAGAACAACCGTTCTAACTATTTTTGCTGCTGCTGCTTCTGCTGCTGCTGCTACTGTTGCTGCTGCTACTACTGCTGCTACTACTGCTACTACTGCTGCTACTACTGCTACTGTAGTCACAGTGTTGTAGTTACTACTGAAACTATAGTTGATGTTTTGCCTGCTGCTGACGATACAATTGTAATGTGTTGATGACACATTTGCTTATGGCACTGTTACCATTCCTGGCACTGTTACCACTCCTGGCACTGTTTCCACTCCTAGCACTGTTACCACTCCTGGCACTGTTACCATTCCTGGCACTGTTACCACTCCTGGCACTGTTACCACTCCTGGCACTGTTACCACTCCTGGCACTAATCATGAGAAACGTCTACTGTCAGTTGTCATCGAGAACTTCGGTTCCTTCGTATCAATCAATACATGTGTTGCTTAATTCTCCAACTGATTCGTCTCAGTGTTGACCATCACGTCCTGAAGAAGGATAAAAAGACATTAAAAAGATAACAGTTGTTGTATCATGCAGGTGTGCTCAACACTTGTCAGTTAGAAGAAAATAACCCCACCTGCAGACACCAACGTGAGAAACAGCTGCTTATTTCGACTCCCAACTAAGGCTGTCTTCTGTAGATTGAATAGTGGTTTTTTTTTCCTGCTATTACCGCAGGTTACTTGATAACAACATTTTAGTAGGACAGAGGAAGAACTTTGTTCAGGAGTGTGACCAGGAGATGAAGCTCGAGTCAGGTGAGTTATACAAGAAGTATCTCCGTAGAAACCTTAAGAAGGTTTATACATCAGAGGTTTATACATCAGAGGTTTGTACATCAGAGGTTTGTACATCAGAGGTTTATACATCAGAGGTTTATACATCAGAGGTTTATACGTCAAAGGTTTATACATCAAAAGTTTATACATCAGAGGCTTATACATCAGAGGTTTATTCATTACAAGGTTTCAAATCAAAGGTTTACAACTTGAGGTAAACAGTTTGCAGATATAAACTCTGAGGGACACTACTCATACACTACTGCAATAAATATATCAAACCATTGATCATTGATGAAGTCTGTCAGAAATTTATGTTTACGTTTGAACACCGCGCGCGACTGAAGGATACCTGCGCAGCGACTGAAGGATACCTGCGCAGCGACTGAAGGATACCTGCGCAGCGACTGAAGGATACCTGCGCAGCGACTGAAGAATACCTGCGCAGCGACTGAAGGATACCTGCGCAGCGACTGAAGGATACCTGCGCAGCGAATGAAGGATACCTGCGCAGCGACTGAAGGATACCTGCGCAGCGACTGAAGGATACCTGCGCAGCGACTGAAGGATACCTGCGCAGCGACTGAAGAATACCTGCGCAGCGACTGAAGGATACCTGCACAACGACTGAAGGATACCTGCGCAGCGACTGAAGGATACCTGCGCAGCGACTGAAGAATACCTGCACAACGACTGAAGAATACCTGCACAACGACTGAAGGATACCTGCGCAGCGACTGAAGGATACCTACGCAGCGACTGAAGGATACCTGCGCAGCGACTGAAGGATACCTGCGCAGCGACTGAAGGATACCTGCGCAGCGACTGAAGAATACCTGCACAACGACTGAAGAATACCTGCACAACGACTGAAGAATACCTGCACAACGACTGAAGGATACTTGCGCAGCGACTGAAGTTTGTGACAGAGCCAACTAGAGGAAATAACCTGCTTGACTTGGTTCTTGCCAGCAGGGAAGCGCTAATTAATAATCTTGAGGTTAAAGATGAGCTTGGGGAAAGTGATCACAAATCACTCAGTTTTAATATATCATGGAATTCCCCTAATAATGGCAATCAAGTCTCTGTCCCTGACTTCCGCTTGGCTGATTTCATAGAACTGAAAAATTACTTGGGTGGGCTGAACTGGAATGACCTGACTATGGGTCAGGTAGGTGGTGATGATTGCCGATATGACGTTTTCCAGGGCATAGTTCTAGCTGCTCAGATAACTTATGTTGCAAATAGGGAAATCAGATCAAGCAGAAATGATCCTAAATGGATGAACAATAGATTAAAACATCTCATTGGCCAAAAGAGAAGCATATATAAGCAAATCAAAAGAGGAGAGGTGCAATTAAGAAATCAATATATTCAGTTAAAGAGAGAAATAAAAAAGGGAATAAGAAAAGCAAAAAGAGATTATGAGGTTAAAGTTGCAAGAGAATCGAAAACTAACCCAAAAGGATTCTTTCAGGTATACAGAAGTAACATCAGGGACAAGATAGGCCCACTCAAAAGTTCCTCGGGTCAGCTCACTGACAGTGATAAGGAAATGTGTAGAATTTTTAACACATACTTCCTCTCAGTTTTTACACAGGAGGATACCAGCGATATTCCAGAAATAATAAATTATGTAGAACAGGACGATAATAAACTGTGCACGATTAGGGTCACAGGTGACATGGTCCTTAGGCAAATAGATAAATTAAAACCTAACAAATCCCCAGGCCCTGATGAACTGTATGCAAGGGTTCTAAAGGAATGTAAAGAGGAGCTTAGCAAACCTCTGGCTAATCTTTTCAATATATCACTACAGACTGGCATGGTGCCAGATAAGTGGAAAATGGCAAATGTGATACCTATTTTCAAAGCAGATGACAGGGCCTTAGCTTCGAACTATAGACCAATAAGCCTAACCTCCATAGTGGGAAAATTTATGGAATCAATAATTGCCGAGGTAGTTCATAGCCACCTTGAAAAGCATAAATTAATCAACGAATCTCAGCATGGTTTTTACAAAGGGGCGTTCCTGCCTTACGAATTTATTAACTTTTTTCACTAAGGTATTTGAGGAGGTAGATCATGGTAATGAATATGATATTGTGTATATGGACTTCAGTATGGCTTTTGACAGGGTCCCACATCAGAGACTATTGAGGAAAATTAAGGCACATGGAATAGAAGGAGAAATTTTTTCCTGGATAGAGGCATGATTGACAAATAGGCAGCAGAGAGTTTGCATAAATGGGGAGAAATCAGAGTGAGGAAGCGTCACGAGTGGTGTTCCACAGGGGTCAGTGTTGGGCCCCTTGTTGTTCACAATCTACATAAACGACACTGATGAGGGCATAAAGAGCGACATAAGCAAGTTTGCCGATGACACCAAAATAGGCCGTCGAATTCATTCTGACGAGGATATTAGAGCACTCCAGGAAGATTTGAATAGACTGATGCAGTGGTCGGAGAAGTGGCAGATGCAGTTTAATATAGACAAATGCAAAGTTCTAAATGTTGGACAGGAAAATAACCATGCCACATATAAACTAAATAATGTCGATCTTAATATTACGGATTGCGAAAAAGATTTAGGAGTTCTGGTTAGCAGTAATCTAACACCAAGACAACAGTGCATAAGTGTTCGCAATAAAGCTAACAGAATCATTGGCTTCATATCAAGAAGCATAAATAATAGGTGTCCTCAGGTTATTCTTCAACTCTATATATCCTTGGTTAGACTTCATTTAGATTATGCTGCACAGTTTTGATCACCGTATTACAGAATGGATATAAATGCACTGGAAAGCGTACAAAGGAGGATGACAAAGTTGATCCCATGTATCAGAAATCTTCCATGTGAGGATAGACTGAGGGCCCTGAATCTGCACTCTCTAGAAAGGCGTAGAATTAGGGAAGATATGATTAAGGTGTATAAATGGAAAACAGGAATAAATAAAGGGGATGTAAATAACGTGCTGAAAATATCTAGCCTAGACAGGATTCGTAGCAATGGTTTTAAGTTGGAAAAATTCAGATTCAGGAAGGATATAGGAAAGCACAGGTTTGGTAATAGAGTTGTGGATGAGTGAAACAAACTCCCAAGTACAGTTATTGAGGCTAAAACGTTATGTAGTTTTAAAAATAGGTTAGATAAATACATGAGTGGGTGTGGGTGGGTGTGAGTTGGACCTGATTAGCTTGTGCTACTAGGTTAGTTGTCGTGTTCCTTCCTTAAGTGAATGTGATCTGACCTGACTAGGTTGGGGCATTGTGTTAAGCCGGTAGGAGACTTGGACCTGCCTCGTATGGGTCAGTAGGCCTGCTGCAGTGTTCCTTCTTTCTTATGTTCTTATACCTGCGCAGCGACTGAAAGGTACTTGCGCAACTACTGAAGGATACGCAGCGACTGAAGGATACATGCGCAGCGACTGAAAGATACCTGCATAGTGACTGAAGGATACCTGCGCAGCGACTGAAGGATACCTGCGCAGCGACTGAAGGATACCTGCACAGCGACTGAAGGATACCTGCACAGCGACTGAAGGATACCTGCACAGCGACTGAAGGATACCTGCACAGCGACTGAAGGATACCTGCACAGCGACTGAAGGATACCTGCACAGCGACTGAAGGATACCTGCGCAGCGACTGAAGGATACCTGCGCAGCGACTGAAGGATACCTGCGCAGCGACTGAAGGATACCTGCGCAGCGACTGAAGGATACCTGCACAGCGACTGAAGGATACCTGCGCAGCGACTGAAGGATAACTGCACAGCGATTGAAGGATACCTTTTCTTTATTAGTCACCAAATCGAACCTACAAATGGAGCAATCATTGCTTAGAAAAAAATGCTTTTTTTAAAATATTAGGCTTCAAATGGCCTACATTCTGGTCTCTCTTTTTTATGAAGTCATTTAATGTCCACTTCCGCTGATTGTGCTGGTGAAATATTGAAAATTACAAGTGAGAGAGTTGAGTGAGAGTAGAGGATTGCATGTTTCCCCAGCCACTGTCAGTTATGGGGACTCCTGCCTTATTTCTGGGTATGTTTAGTGTCGCTTCCGGGAAATACATGCGAACGAAATCTAAGGCTCTGACTTCTTGACAGTTTGTCGGTTCTGTATATTCCAGTTATGGGCTATATCACTTCGTCACCTTGTTGCCGTGATTTATGGGTTATGTCATCTTGTTGCCGTGATTTATGGGTTATGTCACCTTGTTGCCGTGATTTATGGGTTATGTCATCTTGCTGCCGTGATTTATGGGTTATTTCTTTGTGGCTATTAATAATCAGCCTATGATTTAATTTCTCTATAGGCCTAGAAATCGCTTATTGGATGATAAACCTCCATGGATAATCGAAGAAAAACGCACATTTTCGCCTGTTTTTATCTTCTTACCCCTCAAACAGCCCCGAACCTCAGCTGAAACGGCCATTTTAACACTAATAACATCTTTAAACCGACCCAAACCAAATCTATTTTCACTAGCTGGTCTTCCAAACTAACAGATGAGACAGAAGGACCCACCGCAGCCCTCAGAACAACCCTGAAATAGTCACAAATTTAGTCACCTTGTCACTCATTGCAACCCAAAGCTGGTCATGGACCGGGCCACGGGGGCGTTGACCCCCGGAACACCCTCCAAGTATACTTCAGGTAATATTGATGCCAGAATCAACCCTGTGGGTACTCCCGTCAATC